TTTTTTTTCTTCTTTTTTTTTTCTTGTTCCGTTGTTTGTTTGTTTTTTTTCACTGGGTGGGAATTCATATATCCCAAACACTCCCACTCCGTCTTGGTTGCCTCGTCTTCCTCTCCTCTTTGCGTCCCCCCATTGCTTTTTTTTTTGCTTTTTCTCCACACGCTTCAAAGACTACTTCACCCGCCCCCTCCCCCACTTTATTTTCTTTCTTTTCCTCGTATTGTTTCTGCTTGGCCGTGAAATTATTTATTCCTTCTTCATGCATCTACCCATTGTTTCCAGTTTTTAGCAGATTGCTTACAGAGAGGTGGTTCCTGGCCCACACGCACACAAACAAGCAAAGCGAATGAAGAGGGGATGAAGTCAAGTTGTAAAGTAAACCAAAACACACACACACACAGCGATCGTGTGGTGGGCGCAGAGGCCAGGAAGAAAACGTCATGGCTGCTCGTTGCAGTGGCTTCACGCGACTCTACCGCCCCTTGGTCTCCCACCCTTGCCTCCTTGCCCGCCCTCCTTTTCAGTGGTTGGAAGGGAAAAAGTGATGGAAAATTGCTGCACTCACTCCTGTGCCGCCTCATTCCTGTTTTAGGCAAAGAAAAAAAAAACATGTCCTTTCACCTTTCCCATCGGAAGCTCTATAGAAGTAAAGGGGGCCCCACGTCGCCCCACTTTATTTCTGTCCCTTCAGCTTGTAAACTTTTTTCCCCTCCCCTTCGATTTCGCTGGTTTGTTGTGGGACAACTTTTTGTCCATGTTCTTTCCTCGCTACTAGCCTTTCCTCTCCTCCTCCTTCGTAGTTAGAGGGCACACAAACCCCGCTTCCTCGCTCTGTCTTTTTTGTTTTGTCGTGTTGTTGTTGTTTTGTTTTGTTTTGTGTTGTTTTTTCTCCCTCATTTGCATGCAATGGCAATCTCTAGACGTGCTTTGTCTATGGCTTCGGTACAAGTCTGTCTCATCAATGCCACTGTGCTTCCTCCCCCGTTCCCCCTCTCCCGCCGCGTCTGGGTCGCCCCTCTCCCGACGTGGTTCCTTTCGCCTCGCAGGTGGGAAGGAATTTAGTACACCGACTGCCCCATCTTCTGCTCTGGGTATCCCTTGTGGGGTGGCTTGGCCTGGTACTCCACCTCGACAGGCGTCGTTTCGGGTTCAAACTTGGGAAAGTTGTGTAACACCTTGTTGTCCTTGTCGATGGTTTTAAATTGGACGGTAACGCCGTCGCGTCCAACGACCCTGTTGCACGAAAATCCTAGGACGTACGGCGTCTTCTCCCCCTGACCGTCCATGTGCATGAGTCGAGGAATGACGAGGTATGGCGAGTGCTCGGGAAGGAACTTGTGCAGCAGGCTGACGTCGCGGGCCTGGAAAAAGGTCCACTTGTCGGAGAGTGGGTGGGAGGCATCGGCGGAGCTGTTTTGAACGACCTTGTAGAGCTCGTTTTCCAGCGGCTGCGCAACGCTCAACATGACAGGTTGGTACTCGCCGGCCCCCTGGAGTCCGCGCCTGTCTCGCTGCGAGATTGTAAAACACATCCAAGTGGGTTGCTCAACGCTAACCTCCAAAACGCAGGATGGCGTGCACGCCACGAATTTCGAGGGCACACGGTAATCGTTGAGGGACGGATGGGAGAAGCAAACGCCTCCGCCGTTGAAGTAATAGAGGCAAGCTTCCCACGACATCCAGAAGGTGCTACGATCATCCCTCTCAAAGTCGCAAGCTTGCGCCACTTCCGGGTATTGCTCCCATTTTTCATCGTCGCCGCACCAGTCACCATTCCACTCCGTGTTTCGACCCCATGCGTTGCGCAGCTTCAACAAACGCAGTTCGTGACTGGGAAAGTATTGCGCATCCAAAACTCTGTAGGCGTGTCCACTGAGTAGTCCCACGCTCTGGTAGCGCTTGGACAACTTGGGATCATTCGGGTTTTCATCCTTTGGATCCTTGCCAGGGGTGCTCAGCAACATTTGATAGTGAGCCCTGGTGTACTTTACCCAGTCCTGGAACAGATCATCCTTGCCAGAGCGAGAGGCGCTGGAAAAGGCATCATCAAACCTACAGCATGGAAAGCCTGTCAAGTCCTGAAGTGCGTGAAGTGGATCACCTGAGCAAATAAGGGCGTAACTGCCGTGCATTTTGGCAAATGCCTTTTGCAAGATGGAAGGCCACAGTTCGGCAAGATCACGACTGCTCTTTGCGTACTTGGGTTTGCCCCCGGAAATTGGAAGGTAGTTGTCGACGACGACGCTGCGCCAGAGACCGTTTTTGTTGAAGTTTACACGGTACGCGCCGACAGCACGCTCTCTTTTGCCTGCTTCAGCACCCTTGGGGTGTCGGAACATATTAAGAATAGCATCCGGGTTCTCTGAGACGGCGGCGATGGAGCACATCAGCCAAACATCTCCCAGCTCTCCCTGATCAAACTCGCCAGGGCGAATAGGACCTCTGAACAGGCGAACCTGATCAACCAAGTCGTCAGGAAGGTACGATGAAGGCCGCGCCCAGGGAAGATGCTTGAAAGGCTTCTTTGCCCCAGTGTCCAAAGAAGCCTGGCAGGGCGGAAACTCCGGGTCCACAAAGGGAAGATTATGCTCTAAACAAGCCTTCAAAACCTTCTCCGCATCCTTCTCATCCCCAATAATTTCCTTAATCTGAGCCATTTCCTGGTGAATGGTTTCCTCAGCAAGCTCTTGACGACGCTTACAGTAATCTTCTGATAAGGGAACTGCGCGGAGTTTGCTCGTGAAACCATTCACCTTACCCTTAACGAACATTTCCGTCTCTCCAGGGTAAACATAGACCTCAGCCACATGCTCACCATCGTGTTTTGTATACATTTTGGTATTTTCAAGGGGCTCCAACACGGAGTGCTTGCCAAAGGTGAACTGCACATGCATTTCATAATGGCGAGTATCGTTGTAAAAGGCCCAGGTCTTTTCTTCGCGGTTAAGAATGCGGTACAGCAAATTGGGCTCATCAAAACAGGAAAGAAATTCGCCTTGGTAATCTGGTTCGCCATTTTTGAAATGGGGCATCTCGGATACCTCTTCCTCTTCATAAACAGGGCGTAATGCTGTTGTCATTTCAAACTCATCGTCGCTGTCTTCACGCAAATCGTATTCAACTGGATCCCAACGAGTTGGTTGTTTTAATGGCGTTTTCCTTGGCTTGATAAAGTGATGAACCTCCTGTGTGTGAGGCGGTAACCCCTCCTCATTGTTCCCCTTCCTGCTCCCCTGATCCGCATACCCCACTGGCGACTCCCGTCGATGCACTTCTTCCTCTGCGTGGTGAGGCTCAGGAAGTGGGTGTTCGTGCCCTTCATCAGCAGCATGCGTCCCTTCCGCACGGTGGGGCTTAACCTCATCTTGATCGTGCTCATGACTTTCACCCTCATGAACGATCTCTTCCGTTTCTTGCAAGTGTTCTTTTTTATGGCTCCCAGGATAGCCAACAAGCTCGTCCCCCTCCACAGGGTATTCATGCTCGTGGTGCTCGTCAAGCTCGTGGTGCTCATCGTGTTCGTGTGACTTTTCGTGCTCGTGGTGCTCGTGGTGCTCGTCGTGTTCGTGGGGCTTTTCGTGCTCGTGGTGCTCGTCGTGTTCGTGGGGCTTTTTCGTGCTCGTGGTGCTCGTCGTGTTCGT